TAGTGAGACTAGCAGTTCTAGTGAGACTAGCAGTTCTAGTGAGACTAGCAGTTCTAGTGAGACTAGCAGTTCGAGAGGGACCAGCAATTCTAGTGAGACTAGCAGAACTGTTCGGGACATTGACTTGTTCTTATAAGACTCTATAAAAGAAGGTTTTCTGTTATAGGAATCAATTCAATTTCTCTGCTAAACAAAAACTTCTGTAATAGGTTCATGCCAGAGGGTTTGTACACCTGTAACTTCCAAAGCTCATTATTTATGAAGTCCAACATAGTATCAGGCTCTGGTTTTGGTAACTTGTCATTTTAAGAGGTTAGAATTTTAAGCAAAAAAAAATTCTGCACCTGGGACAAGTTTGCTATGAAACAATACCGCGTCAACTGGGTGATTGAGATTCCACATAAACTTACCTAGAGCTGTCCATGATTGTGTTCAGTCTGTGTGCTATGGTGATGACCGTGCAGTCGGCAAACTCCGTGCGTATCGTAGCTTGGATCAGATCGTCTGTTTCCAGATCCACGGCGGCCGTGGCCTCATCCAGGACTAAGATCTTGGTCTTGCGGAGGAGGGCGCGGGCCAGGCAGATCAACTGTCGCTGACCAAGACTGCACAAAAGAGGGGAGTAAAAAAAGGACTAGGTAACTATGTTACTGAATTGTTCCATTTTCATAAATGAAGCTGTACACGTTCCACATAGTGTACGGATTGACTACGCCAAAAAAATGCTTAGCAAAATATCACGCTTAACAAAAATACACTGCAAATTAGTTGTCAGCTGAGTAGGTTTATGAAACTTTGTGATGAGCAAACCTGAGAGTTCAATGCAATTAATCTGGAATGCTCAGTGAGTGTACAAAAATGGAAGAAGTTATCAGAGAAAACCATTAACACTGACTTCCCAGTTCAAGAAGAAATACTTTAGACTTGAGTAAATGCCCTATTCCGGATGACAGGGTACCAGTCTCACCTTAGGTTTTTGCCTCCCTCGGTGCAGTTGAACTGCAGCTTCTCCGCAGACTCTGACACGAAGGAGTGCAGGTGAGAATGTTTCAGCACATCCCACAGGCGATCGTCGGGGTATTGATCAAAGGGGTCAAGGTTCATGCGCAGAGTACCAGCAAACAACACCGGGTCCTTTAAATCCAATGACAAAGAAAGTGCAAGATACCGACTCATGTCCATTGCAGAGAAACAGATATATATAGTTTTTCCAATTTCATTCTTATTTCTGTATCTCGCTTAAGGCTTAAATTTCATGAAGTTAGTCTAATTTAACAGTGGCCCAACTGAGATCCACTTGTCTGCTAAATCAATCGTCTACAAGAGGTCCAAGTCTGGAGTATTTTGGTTTGGTTCCAATACTTAACGCTCGAAACCGACTGCAGATTTCAATATGAACACAGGGAGGACATGAAGCTGATATCTGGAAATAAGCAAAGATGTGATGCCAGGTGCAAGGTCTATCTAGGGTTATTCACTCACCTGGGGAATGATGGTGATGCGAGATCTTAGATCATGGAGGCCGATGGTAGAGATGTTAATGTTGTCGATCTTGATGGAGCCGGCCGCGGCCTCTAGGATACGGAACAGTGCCATGGAGAGAGATGACTTCCCCGCTCCTGTGCGTCCAACAATGCCCAACTGCGATGCCGAAAAAAATTGGAACAAAGTCTGAAACAATTAACATTCAATGATAAGTCCCTCTGAATAATTTCCAAGTATGTGAAAAATTTCCACCATATCAACTTTTCGGCAAAACCTAGACTCGATAATTTTTTTGGTATCATTCCAGTGACACCTTCATCAATTTTCCTTGCCAAACCAAACTTAGAAACTTTTGGCATTAAATAATGAATAACTGGGAAACCTTTGGAAAGCAACAAAATTTTGATATTATTATGATTTTCAAGACTGCGACAGCAACTACTACTGACCTACAAGGATTGCCTGTAACTTATTATTATTCCTTTTACCACCTCAAAAGTGGCCTGTCAAAAATAACCCTTGCATGATCTGGATTTCTATGATTCCATGAGTTTTCCATAACCTTTTGTCTTCTGATCATATGATTCTTGGACACCCTATTTTAAAAAATTTTCCTTGACTTTTCCAAGACTTTCCAAGACAACTTTTTCCAGGAGTTTCCATGACCGTGGAAACCATGAACCAATGAAAGGCAGACGGCCCACCTTCTCTCCTGGCTCAATGTGGCAGGAGATTTCCTTCAACACCAGATCCAGATCTTCGCGATAACGCACGCTGTACTGATCGACCTCGACCTTGCCACTGTCTGGCCAGGAAGAGGAAGGGCGATTGCTTTCAATAACCTCTGGTGCCTTGAAGAAAAAATTGACAATAATGTGCGGGTTAAATCTCTAATCTGCCTCGAGCAGAAGCAGCCCCCTCATGGTTTGAAAAGAGCCAGGTTGGTGGGAAGTGTTCATTTTTGTTGGTAGCGACGCGACCAAGTGTATGCATTTCATAGTCATTCGTGAGCCAGCAAAGTGCAACTCCAACTGAAGGAGCCTCTGCTGCTAGAAAAATTGCGCCCTCTCTTGCTTCGGCTTGGGGCTCATAGACCAGGGGTTGAATTTCCCGCAGAATTTTCAATGTATATGCATTTTAATTTAAGTTGATCCACTGACGCTAATGAGAAGCACTGGATCAACAGCAGTATTTGCAATCCTACCTCTGTGGGTGTTGTGCAGTACTCTTCAACTCGTTCCACAGCGACCACGTTGTTTTCTAAGTTGCAAGTAGCTCGGACAAGCATAGTCATGATGCTAGTCACCTGAAATATCAAACATGTTTGGATTTTTTTCGCTGAAATTTTAATTCTTTGTCGAAAAAGTAATCTGTGCACCACAGACTAAAATGCAGTATTTCAAGGTCACTCAGGTCAAACAGCACAAATGAGCAACTTTAGCTGAAAAGTATCGTTAACTATTGCTTTTATTCTGATTACACCAACTTTCAAACTTCAGTTCAACAAAAAACAGAGTGAAGGAATAACAGAGCGGCAAGTGTGGGTAATATGTTGCACATTAATTCAATTAGACAAAGAAAAAAGAGACTTCATAGAGATTTGAAAAACACCATATGGTCAGTGTTGGAGTCAAGTCCACAACCTTTGAGGCCAAGGCCAGGGTCTCCAAGGCCAAGGCCGAGTCATTGCCATTCAGGCCGAGGCCAAGGCCAATGCTTTGAAAAACTGGCCTCGAGGCCAGCCTCGAGATCTCCAACACTGCAAATGGTTAGAATTGTCTAGTTCACCCATTCACCTAGATACGATTTGGTGTTTAGTGAGATGACTGATGACTGTTATCAACAGCTCTGCAAGAACAAAGCTCTCCAATAATTAACCCGCTGGTTAACGAATGGTCCTGACTGACCAAAATGGAACGTACTAACCTCCAAGGCGTACGAAATGGAGAGGCCCACTGTTCCTGAACTCAGGTGGTCCCGACCAATCACGGCAAAGATGGAGGCAAAAAACACAACAGTACTACCAAGAAACTCTAAGCGTATTCCAAGCCATCTATGCAAGAAAACAAGGTGAAAATTGAATTCAATACTAGAGAGGGGATGCTTTATTTTCTGCAGACAGACTTGTTTTCTTGGTTTCGCTTGAAGTACGGAGTATTTGAATGTCTACAGCCACAATTCAAGCATTATGGGCAAAAGCTGATCGGTGAGGACTTGAAACAGGGTGAGTTGGTGATTGGTTGGTGGATGGTGAGAGCATAAGATGATATGCACTTACACTTATTTGCTTTTCAGAGAGTCATCTTCAAGGCTTTTCTTGCAGTACAAAGCAACTCAACTCTGCAGTTATGCCCTTGCAATAACAATAACGCATTTCCTTGTGGCAAACAGTGAAGTGTCTTGAAGGATTGGAAGAAAAAGAATGAATGTATCACACTTTTCCACAAACCCTTTTTCAACATTCAAGTTCTTTTCATCGTTTTCATGAAAATACAAAGTGTACGCTGGATTATAGTCAGGGGCCATGTTCGAGTCACAAAATATCTTAACAATTGATGACAATGTCCAGTACAGAAATTACCTTTGTTTTCACTTTGTAATCTCTTTTGGAAAGAGTGCTCTTATGCACTCGTGAAAATATTGAAAATTATTGAAAGCCTTCATCAAACCTCTAACCTGTTGGAAATGATGTTCGGGTAGTAGGCTGTCTGATCCTTGTCCACCAGGCTCTGGTTCTCTTCTATGAATCGCTCCAAGCTGTTGTAGGCTCGGATGGAAGTAGCCCCGGCTATGGACTCGGAGAAGTGTGCATAGATTGGCGAGCGTGCCACCGACACAATCCGGTTCAGCTGACGGGAAGTGGCTATGTAGAATCTCTGTGCGATCAAAGAGGACTTGAGTAGAAGCTGTGTTGACCGCACAGAAATGGGCACTTTACACCCTTGTGTTGCGTGGGGTGCATTTCCATGACTAAAAATGAATGTGTTTGTATCACTGGTTGGAAGTACCCATGACTTCGGCTACGTCTGTCTGACATCAGTGCTCCAACCAAGGACAAGTCCAGGGTATTTTTTTTGAGGACACGCATGAGACTTCATGACATTGAATCTTCCTCGGTGAAATAAGTGTATTATAAAATCTGCTTGTACTGCATGTCTGGAATACTTTCTAGGATCCTTCAGCTTGACAAAAATATCAAGCCATATACACGATAAGTAGTTGAAAAGCTGGGAAAACACAAACCGTTCATAATGACATACAAATTTGTTGTATCTAGCAAGACTAGGTTACATGCAATTATTCCAGAAAGAGTTTGGACCCAGTACTAACCTTAACATGACTATCATCTGGTCAAAAATACAATACAGTCCTTTGCAAAAGTTTAAGACCACGTTGAATTTTATTGGTATTTCTGTCACTTGGCCTGCATTACACTGTCTCACTGAATGATTACTTAACATGATTTTATAGTGGTGCATAGCATCAGTGCAGTGCTGTATACCCATTTGAATGACATTGTTTGCAGAGGCAGGTCTTGTATGACATTTTGTCTGCAAGGCAGCTTGGGGAAAAAAAAGCCAGTCTATGCAATCAGAAATAAAGGAGGGAACACTGATTATTAGACTGTTAACATGTCAAATCATGGAAATGTAGTCAAAAATGTTCAACCAAGGTACCTGAAAATAAACTTAAGTTGCCATGATTGATTGGTTTCAGTTTGGTTTTCCGTCAGGTTAATACATTTTCTATGGGTGGTCCGAAACTTTTGTAAATGACTGTAGTGTTTTTGTTCTTGACAATAATACAAGAACAGCTTTAAAGGTAGTATGGCAGTTAAGAAAAACACACCTGTAACAGCGCAAAGGCTATGATGACCGGTAGGATAACAATGCCGAATAGCGGCGTGCTCCAAGTGATGACGATAAACGTGGCCACCACCAGCATGAACATGCGCAGGAAGGAGGCCACCGCAAACGGGATGTTCTCGTCAATGGAGTACGTGTCCTTGCTGAAACGGTTCAGGATGCGGCCGGTGGGCGTGGTGTCGAAAAACATCATGGGGGCGCGCAGGATGTTTGTCAGGAGGCGTCGGTAGAGAGAGCGCGAGGCTCTGAGCACGCCAGCAGCCAGAAGCAAGGATGCAAATAGCAGCAGTATACCTACGTACAATTATACGATCATTTAAGGGTCAGATGATGTTATAACATATCGGCATGTGCCGCACTGTTAGTGCACCACGTCCTGGTCAGTGCCATGACCCATACACACAAGCCTATCCCTTCACCCATCTCCCTTCTGATTTTCCAAAACCTAACTAAATGGCATAATCTCTGTCCTTCCTTTTTGTACCAAACACCAATGGCTGAGATCTTCACGGCAAATGATGTCATTGTCCATGCATGAATAATAGTAAAGTATCAGACAAATTCAGCAACGTTCATTTGACACTCTCTAAGCAGTCTTTCTCATTTGAGGCGTGCGATCACCATCGCACACTATCACATGTCCTAAAAGTTTATCCACAAGCGGTGACTGATCCCATGACTAATCCCTCTCACCGCACGTCTCGGCATACATTTTTGGTATAATCACACTCATGGAGTGCGCTGAGCTTACATGTAGGTGATCAAATTCTGTTGAAATGACATTCACGAGACAAGTCTTTTGTCTACCACTGAATTTTTTTTTCTTTTTGGTGTTGCTTACCTTGCAGGAAGACCAGCATGCCATAAATCCCAAGGTATCTGTCCCGAATCTCCTCAGGGCTGGTCCCGTTGACGGGTTCCTGGCTGCTCCAACGGCTCAGCCAGACATTGATGAAGACGGCGTCGGCGTTGAAGAGGGCAAACAGGAGGAAGATGAGCAGGAACAGAAGGTTGCCAAGGGAACGGATGTACAGGAGGAACACTCGAAGGCTAGTCTGTCCAAATTAATTCCAAACGAAAACTGACTCAGAGAAAAGGTTAATTGGGAGCCATGTTGTGTTCACAAGCACTTTCATGACAGGCAAATCAATACCCAAACAAAGCCTTTGTATACAATGCAATCATGTGGCAAGAATGTTTTACTAAAGTTGAAAATGTAAAAACAGCACTCAGCGTACATGCTGAATGGTAGACAGGTTTTTTCATTGGTTACCCCACCTCTGTAAAAATTGAGCTATTGAACATAATTGTTCAAAGCAACAATACCTAGGATAATATGCCTCAAGCAGAAGTACCCCCTCATTGGTTGAAAGGAGTTGCATTGGTCAGGAGCGTTCAACCTCTTTGTAGTGATGTGAATGTGACGTGTGCGTGTCATAGTCATTCGGAAACCGGCCAAGTTCAGTTGTGACAAAGGGAGCCTCCTTTGTTAAGCAAATAGCGCCCTCTCTTTGTTAAGCTCGAGGCCCGTAGGTGGCACTCTTCAGGGTTACACATGATATTCACAAAGACCACTGCAGCAAAAGGGCGCTTCTTACATATACCCCCCCTCAATGACTACGACCCTGGCAAACTCATAGTTCCTCACCATGCCCGTCTCAGTTGTCTCTTTCTTGATGAGTGTGTCGCCCTCTTTGGCCAGGGCTGCCTTGGTCGCATCCTGCTCTCGCTGCTTCTTCAGCTGGTCCCGGGATATCTGCTTCTTCAAGGCCTCCTCTTCTTGGTGGGATTTCATTGCTGTTGATATTCTAACCCCCAAAAATAGAAATACGTGTATAGCTCGGGCTATGTTCACCTCCTTGGAGAAACACCAAGACTGGTCCTCCTCAGACCATTAGCAGAGCACACAAGTAAGAAGTTATTATTTATTATTAAAGTGGACAGATTTTGGGCCAGAAGGAAAATGCTGTATCTTAATGAAAAATATTACAAAGCAGTACCACTGCTGCAACTAATAAATGACTATAATGCTTATAAAGTGCTTTTCATTCGATCAACTATCTTGAAGTGCTTGACAATCGTCCAATTCGATCAACTATCTCAAAGTGCTTGACAATTGTCCAGTTCGATCAACTATCTCAAAGTGGTTGACAATTGTCCAATATGTCTTGCAAAACCAATTACTGGCCAATTTTAGCGCATGTACAAGCTCTGGCCTCAGGTGCCCAATCGTACAACTGGATGGCGAGAGTGACTTGCACCAAGGTCACAACATGTTGCCAGTGGCTGGATGTGAACCAGTGACCTCTGATCGGGAGTTACGAATCCTAACCACAAACGCATGCACCACACCTCTGCTAGGACATCATGGTAAAGAGTTTCAACACCAGGATGTGAACTGCTGACACAACTAATTGAATCGCACAACCTAGTTATCTCTTCGTAAAACAAAAAAGGGAAATATTTCTCACAAAGGATGTATCTCTAAATAAGCAAACCAGGAAAAGACTCACTTGTTTGGGTTCACTTCTCTCTGAGTAGGCGAACCTTCCACAGCTTTTGTTTCTGCATCCTCTCCTGAAAAAGCGGGAAAAATTGTAAAGTCTGAAATGAACATGAACACGAGACAGTGATCAGATCCCACAAAATGAGTCTTTAGGTCATTTTCTAGCAATTTCTGTTATCTGAATTAAAAAAGAGCATGCTAAGCTGTTTGTTTTGGTGTACTCAGTACTCAGGCAGCCTGACTCAATAAACCCGAGGGTAAAAACTGCTTAAGGCTCCCACTGATTTACACTGTGTAAGATTCTTTTAAGGACCTTAATTCAAAAGTGGCTCGGAAGACTCGTGACTCATTTTGAACAAGTTGGAGCACTACTACATAAGATAAAGCATTTGTCAAAGAAGAAATAATAAACTGCACACTCTCGGCAAAATTGATTTGTAAACAAAATCAATCATTCAGTCTAATCAATTAGAAATTATGCTGGATAGATCAGTTTCACTACCTGCTTGATCTTCAATCTCATCAGCCTCGGTGCTATAGTTACGCAGGAATTCCGCGAATGCCTGGTTGCGCGAGAGCAGCTCGGTGTACGAGCCTGCCTCGGTGATTTCCCCGTCGACCACGACGATGATGCGATCCACTTGAGGCAGGAAGCTGATGCCATGAGTGACCAGAACTCGTGTCTTCCGCTTGAGGAGACCCTCCGGCCCGATTACCTGCTCGAAGATGTGCTTACCCACATGCGAGTCCACGGCACTGAGCGGGTCGTCCAGGAGATAGATGTCGGCATTGTTGTAGACGGCTCGAGCCAGGCTGACCCTTTGTTTCTGACCTCCACTGAGGTTGATACCCTGGTAACATTAGATGTATGTTGATACCAAATTTAATGTCAGCTACGCTCAAATCTAGTACATCAGAACAAGACTTGCAGGAAAATGAGATATTTACGATACTTTTTAACACAAGACTTGATGACAAATCTACAGGCTAGTGCATACAACATGATTTTGATGTGAAAAAAAAAAGTTACAATGAAAGTAGTGTATAATCTAGTTTTCCTTTGACATTGAAAAATGTTTCAGACAGCCTTTTTACAAAGGTTTTCAACTACTTTACCATTTTTTGCAATTCATAAATTTTGTAAAAACCTTTTCGCCAATTTCAGTCAGATCCCCGGCCGGCAGTATTTCCAGGTCTGGTGCCAAGGCACACCTTTCGATGACCCGCTGGTACTCCGTCTCCTGCATTGGTGCCCCAAACAAGACGTTGCCCCTAAGAGTGGCATTCTGGATCCAGGCTTGCTGAGGGACATAGGCCACGGAGCCCTGAAAGTGAGAAATTAGGACACAGACTTCATTTCACCTGGTCACAGATGTGAATGGGATCAGTCTAATTACTGTGAAAAGATCTCAACCAGAGGCATATGGCTCAGTGCGTAGGGTTTGCAACTCCCAAACATAGGGTCACGGGTTCAAGTCCAGCCATTGGTTATAAATGTTGGGTAAATCTCCTTCGTCTCTCCCGATCCAGCCTAACAGGGGTACAACTGGGTACCTGTGAGGGCAGAAATGGCTGTTTAACAAGCCGTCTACACCCAAAATGGCATCAAGCTGTATACTTCCAGGTAGCTGAGATGGTTTGAGGAATGTTCTACAGACCAAGAAAGCTGACATAATAATAATGTAGAGCCTGGAGCACCAGTGATGGTCGACAGGTGTACTTTAAATATCCCCATCATACCCAATTCTACTGAGAAAACACCCAGTACAAGATTGTCTGTATAACTTCAGATGTAGGTCAACTCAGTTCAAACATACATATTCATGGTTGTGACAATAAGTACCTTTGGAGTTGTGATAACAAATTGTCGTGATTGTGTTGTGTAAAGGATTTCTTGGGACTGCTGAGTTCCTGCGATTTTGAGTTGCAATTGTAAATTCGAGCAAATGGAAATATGGGCTGCATTTATAAGTTTTGAAAAAGGAATTGTGGTTACAAGTTGCAATCAAGATTTGTTGTAATAAGGAGTTACAACTGTGAGTTGTAAATTTTAAGTTGAATAATGAGTCACGATTATGAGTGATCATGAAATGTGGGTGTTGAAAGTGAGCAGTGGGATCATGACTTATGATCACGAGTTGCCACTTTAATGAGTAGTGTTCAAGAGTTGTTAGGTGTGAGGCTCACATTAACGTTGACTGCTCCTCCGGTCTTCTCCATTTCTCCCAGCAGGGCGGACAGGAGAGAGGACTTGCCACACCCAACCTGACCCACCACTGCCACCAACGAGCCTGGCTGGATGTCCACATTGATGCTGGAGAGAGACACGAAAGCACCTCAAGGTACAGATACAACTTTCATACTTCCGTTATTCATGTTAACAATTTTCACAGACCTCCTGAATAGCGGTGCTATACTTCTGATTATTTCATGATTAAAATGTAATGGTTGGCGTAAGAATAGAGCTAGTCCTGTAATTAGTTCAAGGCACCTCCGCCTTTGTAATACATATGACATATCTGTCAACTCAGATATATTAGAAATGTATTAACAATTTCACATTGCCACAGGTTTGTGCATAAACCGCCTGGTTTGCTTTCTTATCCACACCGACAATGCAATGCTATTGTGTTAAAAAGGCTTATTACTAGTGTGGTGAGTTATTTGCACAATATCAAAGTTACAGTAATGTGGTTGAAAAGCCATGCTGGAGTGGAATGAGGGAACCATGCCTTATGTTGTTTCTGCTAGCATGGCTTAAAGATGTCACATTGTGCTGCATGTGATCTGGCTATGTGCAAGCAGCACGGAATACCTTGTGTACAGGACTGACACAGTTTTCAATGAGGATGTACATATATCTGTCTGCTTAAAGGGGAAATCAACAAAACTCCAAAGAGGAAGCCTACTTCTTCAAAATTAAGTTGCCATCTTTTGACCAGGCAAAGTCCCCATCGTGGATGTGGAGGGCATGATCTGAAAATCAATACAAAACACAAAAGAAAAAGGGACTTAATGCTGGTAAAAGATAAATGGAAAATGAAACGGCACGGAACAAAAATCATCCGAACAAATGAGAAGTTAAATAAGACAATGAAAGTTAATGTACTAGCTGCCCTGGCTTGTTTGTACATTATTTGAACAAAAAGAACTGAAGTGATGTGACATTTCTGCAGTGCAGTTTGTGATAATTTGCGGTGTGTTTGGAATACGTAAGTTTATCTAAGAACCGCTGTCAAAACAGAAGGCAAACATACATTGATGTAAAATTGAAACTAAATGACGGCATTTGAAAATGTCATCTCCACATCAATCTTTTCCTCAAATTAATTTCACCTCCGACAGATCTCTCAACATTCTCGCTGTCCAATTCATCCTTCATGAGGAAATTTTCGATGCGTTTCAGGGAAACATGGCCCTATACAAGAGAATAAAATGCTTCACGTGACCACAGGAATATTAACAAGATTTTAAAGCAAGAAGAATTCTTATTAGTAACTAGTTCCTTCATTCTTGTTCTAACCATCGTAAATTACAGGTGGTTTTTAATCAGAAACAATAATAGTGCACAAGTATTCCTCACTTATCAGTTAATATACATATATGGACTGGCAATGCAGTCACTAGTGCAGGTCTATGCACCCCAAAGAACTGTGAGTGACTAGATGAGGGTTCTATTTCCTGAGGCTGAAGGTCAAGGGAAAATAGGACCCTCTTCTGGCCACGCATGGGGGCATATATGCAAAAGTGACTAAATTATGTCAGCCCATTTGTGTTTCATGACACGCCTTTGTCCAAAATGTAAAATAGAAAAAAAAATCAGGGTTTTGTAACTGAACTGTTTTAATTCACCCCTGAACTCATAAGGTGCCGGAGTGAATATGTCACAAGCACAACTATGTGTGTAAAAGGCAATTAGCACCAGAACCAGAGCGTGAAACAACATGTGCGTGTACTCCATTCGTTTACATTACACTTCCTGGTTCAAAATGACATCACGCTTCAGTACTCTACAGGTAAGGGGTGTGTTACATTTGGTGTTGGGCATTAGCGCTGTTATGTTTTCATGGCATATAAAATTAGGCTCTGTGCTTTAATGCAAAAGATCACAGATGCTATGTAGTTGACACTAAATGAGTGCTGGTCTCTTGTCCTTGACCAGGGCGGATTGCAGTGTTGTAGTCGAGACCTCTTTAAGACCATCCCAAGACCCCACAAGACCAACACAAGACCTCCAGTCTAAATTCAAGTCACAAGCTATTCAAATGAATTGCAACAAAAGGCTCCCTTAGTCACTGTCCACACAGTTTTACTTGTAACTGGTCTTGTGGATGGTCTTGCGGAGGGTCTTGATTACAACACTGGAGGATTGAAGTCACTACAATCCGTATAATGGCAAGTGTGGCAATAGTAGTAGAAGCAGAAGAAGTAGCAGAAAAAAGGAAAACTTGGTCAATAGAGCATAACCATCACAGGTTAACTATAAACTGACTACCATTCATTCATCAGTCAATATCAGCTTTATATTGACTGCTTCAGAGGGTAATAGTTCTTACCACCATTGTGCGTGATATCATACTGGGTAGCATAGAGAAGGGAAACTTGAGGATGTTGAAGAGCGAGATTGAGACAAAGACCTTTTCAGCATCTAATACGTTCTCCTCATCCACCAAGACATAGACAGCAAAACTTAGCAGTGCCACCTTCAAGAAAATATAAAAAAGTGAAACGACTAAAATTCCACAATCAATTGCAAAGTGATGCAGAGGGACTGACTGTGTGAATGTTAGCAACAGGCAGAGCCTGCCAATAGAGGAATGGCAGCTGGCAACACAGGTGAACAACATGTGGTGAGTGTTAGTAACCACGGTGAAGAATCTTTACGGGTCTCCATTGATATCTTCCGCGACGGCCAACTCAAAACATCCAGTTTCAGTCGGGCCCAAAATCTGACCTTTCTGCTTCAAAATTAACACAATACTTTCAGAGATCGAAGATGAAATCCGAGTTCAGTCGACGTTAATGTGAGAATTTTAGATGTTCTTTTCTGCATAGTGGTACTTGTAAGGTGTAACTCTAGGCACTACAATTTTGAAGGTTGTTGCTTTCAATGTTTCTCATGTCACTCTGGACTAGCTAAGTTCATGCTAATGTTCACATGATTGGAATAAATAAATAATGTTTGCCAAATACGATCAACCCGGAAACATGAACAATTTCCCCCTCAACAGGTCACGTGCAGACCTAATGCGGCTCACTTACAATAAACGGGGCGCTCGTCCAGAGGAAAGTCATGGTGGCCTGCAGGTAGGATGACATGCGCAGCAGTCGCACCTCTCGATTGCGGATTTCCATGACCTTGTCCCGGAAGGACATCTCCCACGCGTACAGCTTCAGCACTCTGATGCCGTTCAGCACCTCGTTCATCAGTTTGAGACGGGCATCTTTCTCCTTCATCTGCCTTGCCTGTAAAGCCAGAAAAATTCATTTTGCACACGCGACATAGCAACTGTAGACTCATCAGAGGAGATGATGAGATGTGGGAAGACACCACATTTATGCTCACTTAGAGCATGTTTGTTTCACATGGATCTGGATCGTGATCTCACAGCTGGTTCACATTATCCATCTGGCGGGTTCTGGTGTCAGTGAACCAACGACAGATCATAGATCGAGATCTGGATCCATGTGAAACAAACAGACCTGTAGTGTTTCACTATGTGACTGAGGAGAGGGAATTGTGTTTTATATTGTTGCTGTAACATACCATCGATCCATAGGCTACGCACAGGCA